TGAATTATAAGTTTCGATTTATCCAAGTTTGAGTAGAACAGAATTAACATGAAAATTCGATTTACGGAAGCTTTGTACAAAAGTTTATAATTTTCCGATTATAATTGCTTTTAAAGAAAAAAATTTGAATGGATTTCGAGTTATAGAGGTTCGAATTATCGAGGTTCGACTGTATTAAAAAATTTTATCTCTCTCACACAAACGCGTAAATTATAACATTTATTATTTCGCAATCATACGGATTAAGTTATTTTTATTTCAACGTTCAACATAAAAATAAAATTTCTGTACTTTTCTAGGATATTCGTACGAGCCGTACAGAGTTTCGTCCCGAATCGTTACTCTTATGTTATTGCTGACCTCGCTGAGTCTCTATGCGGCTTATACAGCGAATATCGTGGGTTTGCTGCAGTCTACCACGGATTCTATCAAAACTCTATCGGATCTCCTGAACAGTCCTTTAAAGCTGGGCGCGATGGATATAATATACAACAAACATTATTTCAAGGTTGGTAGACTGAAATCGCGGAAATGAATAATACGAAAACTTTTATTATATTCAGGATTGGGAAGTAACTCGTTACTTGTAACGAAGTTACAGTTGGAGTTACTTTTTTTCAATAACTGCAACTTAACTTTGTTACTTTTTTTCCATATGTAACTATAACTTAACTTAGATTTTTAAAGTAACTAGTAACTAATTTAGTAATTACTTTTATAGTTACTTTATATATATTAAATCATCATTTTCATGGATCAAAATTATGCAACACTTTTGCTCAACCTACGTAATCGTAATGTTGATTGTAATTATGCGAAATATTTAAGTGCTCATATTTAAATATGCAAATTACTTTTCTTTTTTAAATAAAATTAAATAATATGTAAATCTTTTTTTATAATGCTAATATTGTTCTATTAAAAGTAACTAAAAAGTAACGATTTGGTGTAAAAATTACAAAGAGTAAAAGAAAATTGCAAAAAATAAGTTCTTTATGGAATGGCAGTCCTTTCAAGATCCGGTTAGGAAGGCGATCCTGAAACAGGAAATTGAGCCGAAAGGACGCAAATCTAATTGGATGTCCATAGAGGAGGGTGTACGTCGCATGAGAAACGAACTCTTCGCATTCCACGGTGAGATTGGTGTGGTTTATCAACTTATGCAAAACACATATTTTGAGGAGGAGAAGTGCGGTTTAACCGAAATCGATTTCCTAAATGTCCTATATCCGCTCTTCGTGATCCAAAAACAATCACCTTACTTGGAGATAATAAAAACTGGGTAAATAGCACCGCGAGTTATCTTCATCACGTGTGTAAACAACGAAGTTTTCAAAAATCTTTAAATTCCGACATAGAACTTCCTTGAAGTTTAAAGTCTAACATATCAGAAATATCGTGTAGTTTTAAAAAAAGATTTTATTGATGCGTTGATTATTTTTGAAATTTTGTCTACATGAACTAATAACCATCTTGCGACGTAATAATTCTCGGAACGGCACTCTGCAAGAATTTTGTTTCCAGAGCTCTAAAATTACGAGAATACGGACTCAAGTATCGCGAGGAGTATCGCTTGTACACGAGAAAACCAGTGTGCGCGAGTCAGACCAGCTTCATCACTATCGGATTCACAGAATGTTACTTCGCGCTGGTCACAATGGGCTACGGGATACTCTTCTCGGTAATCGTGTTGGCGTTCGAGTTATTGTGGCACAAGAGGTAAGATTTAAGAGAGAGACGTTGTTATCATGCTTTGCGCTA